GCCCCCTCCCCCCCCCCCCCCCCCCCCCCTTTCTGAATTTAGTGGGTAAATTACTTGCTCTGTGGTTGAAATGTGAAGTAGTGTATCATGTGTTCCTAACTTTATCTGTATTTTTAACTACCTTGTTTAGCACAATTAGGTTTTTTTACTGAAGTGTTTTGGGCCAGACAAAACTTTAGTCCTTAAGCTTATGAAAATCACTGCTTGCTTGTTCTCTAAACAGTTCAAGTGGTTAAAAGAGGTAACCCTGTATGGACATGTAGTTTGAAACAACTGAAGACTGGAATTTTAAAACACATGTGTTTCAGCTTGTAAATCATTCTTAATATTACTGAAGGGGTTTTTGCACAAATTTTTCACCAGAGCTTACTAAATTTAATACTTGTCTTAGATTTGCAATCCTACTTATATTTGCTTTTCCTAGTTGAATTATTGATATACTCTAATTTTCCTGCTGTGTTAAAATACCTTATTTTTATCTTGAGTAGTGATTTCTTGTTTCTCTGAAGATAGTAGTAGCTTTTGAAGAGCTCTCTAGTCTAATGCACATACCTCTGACAGTCTACTTTATGCTGATCTTTTCTTGTCCTTGTCTTCATGCTACTCATTTTTATAATTTCCATAAACTGCATGAAGAGCCTTTTCATAGTTCTTAGTCCCTGTGATAGTTTGAAAAAACCAGGATCTGATCCTCTTCCCCCATTAAATCAAATAATCCAGTAACAACTACAGAACTACATTAACATAATAACTTTTGTGTCTTTCTGCTTATTCTGTTGCTACAACTTATTTTAAGGGACAAAATACCTTTTTTCTTTTTTTCTTTCCGACTTTGGAAATGATTGATCATTGTTAGAACTGGAAAATATATTTAGACGAGAAATAAGCCTGATTAACAAAACCTGCTGTGTTTGTTAAAAGGAAAAAAAAAAAACCCACCCTGAAAATTATAAGAGGTTCTACCTGAAGGTTCTTTTAAATTTCTTGTTTGCCTTTACATGGATAATATAATTCGAACTTGGCAAATTTTTCTGGAGGGTGCTGAACAATGTATGGACCTAATAAGTGATATTTCATGGCAGAAGTAAGTCCATCACAGGGACCCCCAATAATAACTGGGGTGTGTAGAGAAATGCACTCTAAATGGATCTACTGTGATGATCTGGAAAGAGCTGTTGCCCACGCTTCTAAATAACAGCAGCAAAGTGAACCGTAATATTAACTTCATTGTGCTGTTGCTTATCAAAGCTGATGCAATTCCGTCTTACAAAACAGTCTGATTCCAGTGCAAAACTGAAATCTGGTTACTTGGAAAGTTCATCAAAATTAGTATGTGTAGGGAGGGGGAATGCGGGACTAAGTTTTCTTGGTGGTTTTTTTTTTTTGTTTGGGGTGGGGGTTTTTTTTGGTGTGGGTTTGGGTTTTTTGGGGAATGGATGGACTTCTACATGTCGAAGTAGTATTATTGTCTCTGTTTGCAGGAGCTGTTGTCTTACCAAAGAACAAGGTGTTTCAGTTACAGGGAACGTAATTGTGTTTTCCTCACTTTGTGTTGGCTTACACTTACTAAATTTTTATCAAGTGCAGAATTTGTGAGACTTAAAGGATGTACATTAGGATCTTTCCAGACAAAACAGTTAGCCGTCTGGTCCAGATACGCATGTGTTTCCAGCATAATAGCTATGCCTGGGTTTCTTAAATGTCTGAAAGTAATGGAAAGTTCTTGTTTTAATGGCTTGCATAGACTTGTAGCAAAATAACTTGTGTGCAACTGTTAATATGTGGGAGAAGGGACTGAAGGTTTTCCCTTTTCTCATGACTTCTAGATGCCTTGACAAGTGCAGATTTATAGAAGCTCCTGAAGCCATTTTTAGATTCAAAAGAGAGCAGGGAAGAGGGAAGGTATCTGTTACATGCTTCAACTGAAAGTACAAATTTAATTTTAAAAGACACTGTCTGAACAAGTAACTTGCAGAGCGTTTAAACAAGTTAATGCTGAGCTGCTTTGATTCATCGCAGCACTCTTGATATGACACAAGGAATCCTCCATCTGAAGTCTCTGTTTCCATTCTCTCTGTAATGGGGGAGGGAGCTGTTTCTGCAGCTCAGTTACTCAGAATTTTGAAGGCATAATTGTCTTAAATGTGAAGCTTAAAATAAAAAATACAGATGTTTTGCCCAATTCCAACACTTGCCAGACTTTAATTTTCCTGTCCACTTTATGCAAGATATATCCCTGCTGGAGGTAGTGGGGAAAACTAAACTGCATTTCTTGTGTTGGGTTGTTTGTTCTTTTTTCTGTCTGTTCAGATGTTACATACATAGTGCTTTCTGTTTCGTGAAGACTCATCAATAGCTTTCTCTCTTCCCACTTCAGGCTTCTCTAGCTAAGACTGAATCCTTGAAAACCTTGATCAGAAAGTGGTTAGACTTTGCCCACTTCAGGCTCTGTGTCCTGCTCTTCTTTCTGCCCCTTTTTCAGCAGGGGTGTCTTTACGGTAGTGATATTTATTTGGAAAAGTGTAGTCATTGTAGCTGTTTACCTTCATAGCTGTTTTTGTGGTCATTATTTTTTATAAAGACTTTTTTTGATACTCATCTAGTGGTTCTAATAGTTATTGCACATTCTTTTGTGTTTGTATATGGAAAAACTGTTAAAAGTTTTTGCTGGACATGAAGTGAAAATGACTGAGTTCATTAGCATTCCTTCTCTGAGCAGTTTTTTTGTTTGTTCTTTTTTTTTCCTAAAGGAACTTAGTGACTTAGCTCGTGATCCTCCAGCACAGTGTTCAGCAGGTCCCGTTGGAGATGACAGTAAGTGACCTTAAGCTTTATGTTTTGCTCTGCTAACTCGAAGCATATCATGCATAGATAATAATGCGGAGTTTTTCTTTTGTAGTGTTTCATTGGCAAGCCACAATTATGGGACCTGTAAGTATTCTAATTCTTGTGATGTAATATTAAACTAGTAGTTCTTACTCAGGATGAAACTGTGGGGTTTTTTGTTTTACTTTTTTTAACTCTCCTTGTCAGGCTTTAGTTCTAGAGGTACTCCTTACAGTAACAGAAAATGAAGGAGGGGGAAAAGAATCAGTCTGATTATTTTATTGCTGGAATATTTTATGAGGACACATATTTCAGCTGAAATGATCTCTAGAACAATGTTAGGCATTATCATCTAATACCTAGAAACTTTGTTTGCATTTACCTTTTTCTAAAGTTTGAATGTAGCATGAACTTTGTACTAGGAGCTGGTCCCAGTGTCAGGAATTAGCTGGGATGCTTTTGTGTGGATCTTGGAACAGAAGAGTGAATTGTTATTTGGTCTGGTGTCATGTACTGAGACCTTGAATACTTTTAGGAATAGAAGGGAAAATGTCACTGAAATGTGAGGTTCCAGTTATGACTGGAGGAGAAAAGTCTGTGTTAAATGTTTGATAAGCATCCGAAACCTGAATGTGACTTTCCTTGTTAAAGAAGGCAAATGTTTGTCTTTACTGAAAACGTAACTTGCAGACTCCTGACATCTGGAGTTCTCAGGGCTGGTTATCTATATTTAGAAACAAAACCACCTGTTAACTTGAGAAGACAAACACTGGATGCCAGTAGACCTGTAGCCACAACGTGATGCTTCTGGTGAGGCCACAGAGTAGGAATTCAATTATCAGTGATGCTGAATTGCCCTGACTTTATGTGTAGCTACAAGTGTGGTTTTAGGAGATTGCTATGGAAGATGTACCTATTAGAGGTTTACCTGCCTAGGAAAATGGCTCTCCATTCCAAAGTCCCTGGTCTTCATTGATTTTAACTAGGGGCCTCAAAAAGATAAAATTGTTTAATAGCTATATTCATGTTTAAATGGCAAGGAATATTCTGCACTATATGGAGTATGATTTTACGTGGCTGGTGTCTGCACAGTCATAAGGTAGCAGTTGAATTTAAATTGGGATGGTTATTTTTAGCTTCCCCTTCTGGTTTACTAATGTACAGCTCCCTTTTTCCCCATATGGTTTTTGTGGTGTCAAAAGGTCTGTATTCCTGTTTCAAGATTGGGCAGTACCCTGACAGAAGCGTGGGGTTAGTAGTTCTAGTGCTCCTGTCGTGTTGCTTAGTGCCTTAGTAACAAGTGAGGATCGTAGAACCAATCATCTGGCCTTCCACCTCTGCGCTAGCATATTATACAGGCTGGGATTTTCTGAGATAAATGTAAGAGAGCATGCATTGGTTTAACACATTCAAAGAGGGGTTTCTGTAATTGCTAAAACGTATCCCCAGAATATGTGCAGTACAAGGGTTGCTTTCTGGCTCCTCAAGGCTTCACGTAGTATCTACTGACCAAATACAAGAGGTGATACCTTGATTGCTATGTTTTCAGCAGAGATTGGATAGGGTATAACCTAAATGTTTTCAGGTTTGAGTCCCTTGTCTTGTTTTGCAGAATTTCATTTTCTGGTATTTAAGTAAGATGTAGTTATTTCCTTACATTGGTGAAATGTTCTTGCAATTAATATGAAAATTCAGTTTACAAATAATTCAGAAGTGTACTCTGTGTGTCTCAAATTCATTTTCCCTAGCCCTGAATCTGCAATTGTAGTCTTCAGGTTAAACAATGAAATTGTTAGCTCTATTTCAGAAATTTAGTTGTAGTTCCAGGTTAAAACTTCTTACATCTTCCTTCTCAGAACTAGTGACTTGCACAATCCCTGTTTAGTCACTCCATTTATTCTCTGCTTACTGTCAGCTTTTGTACTTCCACATGTTGCTTTACTGCTAATAGTTAAGACCTGAATGAGTTATCCCCATAATTGTTTCCTTGGAGCAGGGAAATGTAAAATACTCTTCCATACTCTATTACAGTGAATTTATAATACAAAAAGGGAGGAAGAATTCACTTTAATCTTGATAGGGGTTTTTTTGTTTGGTGGTGCTGGTAGGGTGGGGTGGTTTTGTCTTGGTTTTGTTTTGAGTTTTTTTACAGGGAACAAGGAGTTAGCTGTGTATTCATAGGTTTTTTGCAGAGCTGAGCAATGCCCAAGCCAAGGACAGAACTTAGGAGGGAACGGGAGGCCCTTGGAGCTGTCCATGGCCACTGTAAACTTGGGTGGTCATAACAAGCTGCAAACACAGAACTTGAGGGTTTTGAACCTGGCAGGACCCCCGCTCTGTTAACATTACTTCTTGGAGCTGTCTCAGAGGCATTTGGATGCTTTTGCCAAGTTGTCCTGAGTGGATTGTCAGAGAAGCTGTTTTCTATGAAGCATTAGCTCAGAGAGGTCCATACAGAAAGTGACCTGTATGTGTTCTGTGTCGCTTACCTTAGCAAGTAGTAACTGAATTTTAATTGCACCTCTCTTGTATTGGTGGATTAAGCAGTTCAGTTGTTTAAACAAATTTCCTCTCCTTTTATTTATTACATCTTCAGTGATATTTAGTCCTAAAGATGATAATAGGAGAATTATTTGTTTGCTTTGACAGAATGACAGTCCATATCAGGGTGGTGTATTCTTCTTGACAATTCACTTTCCTACAGACTACCCTTTCAAACCACCTAAGGTAAGTATTGCTTTCTCATTTGTGAAATTAGTGCTCTGTAAAGAACCGAGTACAGGACAAATTGTCAGCATCTGTGTTGTAATATTGTCAAGTTCTCACTTCTTTTCATGCATTCTTACAGTATAGTAGATGGCTAGGTCCCTCTGACTACCGCAAGAATGGGTGCGTTAGCATATATTTTAGGAGCAAATTCATATATGTGAATTCTGAATGTCTTGGAATGATGTTTGGTTTTATTTCAGTTTTTCTTAATTGATAGGATAAACTCATTAGCTGTGTGTGACTATAATGGAATTCTTGCTGGGGGGCTGTGAAGTGTTACAGTGTAGCTGTTTGGGTTGGTCTGCAGGAATGTGACACTGTGAATGGGGATTAAATTGCTGAGTGCCTAAAATAAGTGAAGATAATATCTGTTACAATTTGGCAGTTATTGCAAAATACACTTTTTTGTAGCTTTATCAGCCACTAGCATTGTCTTCCAATTTTCAGTCAATATGAAAGTGCACACTTGGAGTGACTGCAATGTTCAAAGTTTTTCAGCTCTGTGATAGCAGTGTTACCGTGGTTCAGGCACTTCTGTTGAGTCTCTTCATGATGTGGGCACCTGTGGTTAAAACACAGCCTCATACTTGCCCTCTCTCTGTTTGAAATAGAGTGCCTAGTAATTGGAAACTGAGAGGTGGCTTGGGTGCATTTCTGTGAATTTGATGCAGTTTAACTGCTTAATCCTTTTCTTTTAGAGTAAATTGAGTTGACTAATAGGTTGAGTGAGAAGAAAGGGTGACATCATTATCGTCATAGACCGAAACACACTCTTCCTTTTTTCTTTTTTTTTTTTTTTTTTTGTTGCAGGTTGCATTTACAACAAGAATCTATCATCCAAATATTAACAGTAATGGCAGCATTTGTCTTGATATTCTAAGATCACAGTGGTCTCCTGCTTTAACTATTTCTAAAGGTAACTTTCGTAAAGGAGAAATGTTTCCATCTTGTGTGGAATACTGTGCTTTTAGTTTTAATTGCCTTCAGTTCTCACCCATCTCTTGATTTTTTTCCCTTATTCATTCCAACCTGTGTTTTGCCAATTTAATAATGATACCTTACTGTGTTTTTAATGGATATTTGTTTTTTCTAACACATTCTGCTACATGGCTGTTTAAGGCCTTGTCTAGCCACTTTTGCTTCACTGTTCTTAGCAGAGCATACTAGCTTGGTCCCAGAGGAATCTGCCAGCGTTTGGACTGAAACAGGACTGTGGTGGTGTATTTGAGCTAAGGCTGAGAAACTGCTTGTTTGCATCTGCCCATGTAGATACACACTTGCATATTAATTTAAAGATTAATTTAAAGTGAGTTTTTAATAATGAAGTCTGCATAGTTTTTTGACTGAGTCTGTCTAGAATTACATGCAAAGTTACATTGGCGTATCTTTGTGGTAGATGAATAAAAGAAAACTGTTATTGATACATGTTGCTTTCTGCCACTGTGCGCTGGCACTGTATTACATTAATTCATGAACTAAGCTTACTGATTCTAAATTGATGTTGTGCTGCAATAGAAGCTTTGTAGCTTTCCTCATTTTACTATAGTAAATAACAGTTAATTCTCAAATGTTTTCATGATGATCAAATTTTGTTTTGCCTCAAAGCCACTGGTCGCTGTGGCTTCAAAAGGTCCATCAAAGTCCTCATTTGTCTATAGAACTTGTAGTTCCTGTCTGTCCAAGGAGTAGTTTTATGATTTGAATGTGGATTCCCTACATTTTAATGCTGTCACTATTGTTTTTCTTTCAAAGCTGCTGTGAGAGTAGAGGATGAAGTCCTCATAGCTGCCTACGACAGTGTTACTCCTTTATTTTACAACATATGTGTAGTTTTATCAGGGCAAACAAGGGGATTGCTACCTTACATACAACAGAGAAAGAACTCAGTCTGATTTAAAAAAGAAAAAAAAAAAAATTGAAGAAGTTCTAGTTTTAGTGATTGAAACCACGGAATATGCTGGTCATCAGAATACATAATAACGTACTTTTGTTGGCTGCTACTTTGCGTCATAGTGCAGGGGACAACAGTGCCGTTCCTGTGTATGCTTACTGACAGCTGTAAGTATTGGGAAGTAGGAAACAAATAGTTCTTACAAACTTTTAAGTCATTCTGGGCTTTTTATTTGGAGTGGGTTTCAAATTTATTTTGGCAGTATATCAGGAAAAGGCTTTTTAGGGTCTTGCCTGTGCCGACTTTGTGCTAATGCAAAGATCTGTGCTCTGTTGTTTCTGAGATTGTTGCTCCTGTTTTGCTATTGAGAATTTTTTTTTTTACAGTTCTCTTATCCATTTGTTCACTGTTATGTGATCCAAATCCAGATGACCCACTAGTGCCAGAGATTGCACGTATCTATAAAACAGACAGAGACAAGTAAGTACAGAGTTGCGTAAGACTAATATTTTAGCAAACTTTGTAAGAATGCATTGTCAGAGAGCAGTTGTGTTGAGTGAGCCTTTTGTGAAAAACCGGGGTGGAGAGAACTTGTATGCCAAAGAAGTATCTCTTCTTGGTAGTACACAATTTAAAAACAAAGGGGCTTTAGTATCTTTGAAGTTGTGAGTGAAGGAGACTATCTTTTTCTCACATACATGGCAGTATTTTAAAGTATGTATTGCCTAGTTTTTTGCTTACCATGCATAAATAGAACTTCGTATTGAGGAAAAGATAGCTTTGTTACTTTGGTGCTTTCTTTTGGTAGCAGCTTGGCCTTTAATGTTGGTGCTCCCCTTGAAAAAATGCTTCATAACTTTTTTCCTACCCGTGTTGAAAAAACCTTTTTTTCCCTTATGTGTTCTTAACATTTTGCACAGATAGAATTATATGAAGTAGACTTTGTCTCTTATATCTATATATTAATGCTAAATATACTTGTCCAATCAGGTACAATAGGTTAGCAAGAGAGTGGACAGAGAAATACGCTATGCTGTAGGGTAAGAATATCTGCACATTATGGTGCATTTAACAAAATGGAAACTTGTCAGCACTTGGGTGCTGCATGCTCTAAGGCACTGGATTAACTAACAGATAATGGATGCACCAGTTACTGAACTTGGATATTTAACAGCTTGATCTGTGGTTAGTGTGAAATGTATTGGCTAGTCACTATTTCTCACAGATACTGCTCTTGCATGGCCAAAAACAAACAAAAAAAAAAGATAGTATGAAATAATTATCGAGTTTTGAGCCAGCTTGTCAACTTGTTCTGGTGAGTATTTACACAGATTTTGTCAGAATTTCATTAAAAGTGATGCCCTGTAGCAAGACCTCATGCATAGACATGGATGAATTTAGACAATCCAAATTTTAACTTTTTATTATTCAGCAGTGTCTGTCTTCTGCATATGAACTAGGAAAACATATGGGGATTATGTTCTGCTTGTATAGTTGAAAATTAACTTCTTACTGACAAGCATGGAGTTAAGTATAAACTAATTGTCAGCTCAATTCCTGTGGAAGTAGTGTCGTGAAATATTCTTTTAATGTCCTTTCTAAAAATTGTTTGAGCAGTACATTCATGTGGAAAGAGAATATTGTGTTGTTTTACTCTAAAATGGGAACTTTGACATTCTGTATCCAATGATATTATTAACCAAGTAATCTTTACTTACGGCATGTGATACTCTCTAATCTTTACCTAAGGACAATATTTAAACAAAATGCTCCCCTTGCCTCTCCCACCCCAGGTGGTCTCTGTTCCTTCCTCTTCAGTAGTTTTTCACAATGACTTCGAGCAAATCTGCCTGTCTTGAATTTGAAGTGTTTCATATAAATTTGAGAATATCCTAGTTAGACTAGGGAGGGATTTGTTCAGCTTTTTCATTTCAAGTATATCTTAATATAGAAAGAGACTTCTCTTAGTGTGAAGAGAATAGGGAGATGAAGTGATACTTAATCATTAACTGTTTAGTAAATTGTCATTTTCATGGTGACACTAACTGAATTCCTGTTTTTGTTTGCAGGTACAACAGAATATCTCGGGAATGGACTCAGAAGTATGCCATGTGATGCTACCTTAAAGTCAGAATAACCTGCATTATAGCTGGAATAAACTTTAAATTACTGTTCCTTTTTTGATTTTCTTATCCGGCTGCTCCCCTATCAGACCTCATCTTTTTTATTTTTTTGTTTACCTCCTTCCATTCATGCACATGCTCATCTGAGAAGACTTTAGTTCTTCCAGCTTTGGACAATAACTGCTTTTAGAATCTGTAAAGTAGTTACACAAGAACAATTGCCCAAGATTCAGAATTTTTTTTAATGGAGCATGTGTATTATATGGCCAATGTCTTCATTCTAACTTGGTTATGAGATTAAAAACAAACAAACATTCCTCACTGCTCTAACAGATACTGAAGATACCACCTGAAGGGGGGAGGGCAGATGGATGTTCAGATTTCTCCCATCAAAGAAGTAACATTGCTGTAGTAACATCCATCTTGTTCCAAACCTTCCAGTGTTAGAGAACTGAGGTTTTCTTACATACTTTTGCTCATAACTGATGTGTCTGGAGAATTGGTACTGAATCTTAGCATCAGCAGAACAGAAAATGTGATGTATCTTATGCATGTCAATAAAGGAATGACCAGTTCTTGTTTTACAGAGAATGGAAATTGGAAGTCAAACATCCCTTGTATTCCAAAATAGGGTCTAAGAACATTTTTGTAATTCATTTAAATTTTGTTAGGAGGCTTGGAGCTATTAGTTAATCTGTCTTCCAAAACACTGTTTAATATAGCACTGAATAAATGATGCAAGTTGTCGATGGATGAGCGATCAACTAATAGCTCTACTAGTAACTGATTTATTTTCTTCAATAAAGTTGCATAAACCAATGAGTTAGCTGCCTGGATTAATCAATATGGGAAGCAAAATCTTTTGTAAAAGCAAAGCTGGTTTTTGTATATACTGTTGGGATTTGCCTCATTGTTTAACATCAAATAATAATGTACAGTTCAATAGAGTGAATCTTTTGCCATTTTCAGTTATAATGCTCAGTCTGTTGCAGGTTGACACATTGTTCGGCCTGATGTATGCAGAATTAATAAGCTAACATAGTAGTGTAGCCTTAGTAGGGTGCTACACTTGGTGCTGGGAGCCCAGCGTTCAAGGATGGACTTGGGACCCAGCAGATCTGGAGCGGTGTATTGTGGAGATACTTCCTGATGCACCTGTGTTTGCTGACTGAGAACCTTTTTCTTCACCTTGTACGCTTGACAGCTGAAAGATCTTAATGTGGGAGTAATGAGGCAAAAAAAAATATAAAATAAAGTACTGTTTTGATGTGGGAATTGTCATGAGGCTGTGTTGAAGTGACTTTACTATGTGGGATGTTCGTTACCATTGAAAAGGACTTGTTCAGCCATGCTGCCATTTACATTGATGACTATTTTAATGCAACAGACACTTTCCTCATGTCAGGTGACTAAACGTGAATAAAGACTCATTGCTATTGGATTTTTGTTCTACAAGAAACATTGTCTTGTGCCATTAGTTTATCTTTGCAGCAACAAGGGCATTATTAAACATCCGGCTCTCCTCTTTCCTGCCCTCTTCCTTCATATTTTAACTTGTTTGATTTTTTTTTTTTTTTTTGGTCTCTATTCTTAACATCCATAGCTTCATTTTCTCTAGTCTTGTACTATCACTTTATTGTGCATCTGTGACTTCGCACTGGCACCACTTTTGCACTGCTTATAGTTATGTACATTCTGATTCCTTGTCCCCACATGGATGTGGAAAGCTAGATGTAAAATAAATGTTAAACCTTAATTTTTATAAAAATTTGAATATGTAGTTTGGACATGGTTTGTTCTGGTTCTAAACTTTGAAAATGAACTTATTTTAAAGTCTAGTTGGCTTGAAATTTAGAAACCTGGACTCTCTTTAACAGCGCATGCCTCGCTGAAATGACGTTCTGAAATTTGCTGATGAAGTTGCAGTTCATGCAGTATTTCTGCTTTGCTAACCAAAGATTTTTTGCTTACACCATTTTGCTGGAAAATTGGATATACTTAAAATGCAGCTGCGGGTAGCATTACAATGGGGGCAGAAGTTTATATTTCTAAGCTTATAAACATGTTGCTCTCACCTTTTTGGTAACTGTGTTAATTTGATGCTTACTACTTTGTCTTGGAGTCATAGCCACTGAAATCACTTATGTGATCATCTAGAAAGATGTTTTGTGAGATGTAAGGCACCAGGCTTTGTAAAACTCAAGGAGGTGTGGATGGGGGAGGGTCAGGGAAGGAGAAGATAGTAAAATATTACATGGAAGATGGAAATCTTGTCTGGGCCACCATATATTTCTCTTGTATGTCCATAATGGTCCTTCTGTGATAATTTTCTGTAATTAGAAACTATGCGTTTTGGCGAAAGAATGATGGGTGAACTGTAGATGTTATGTATGCATGCCGGAGGGGAGGTCATGCTGAGACTTAAAATCTTAAATTTGTGAAGTGGGAAATGGCAGGTGTGTTGTCCTTGAAGCAGGCTCAGTAGTGTCTCGTGCAGGCTTCCTGTGGAAGTTACACTTGGGCTTGCTGTTCAGTTGGGGGGGAGGGCAGGGGGGCAAGGGGAGGAGCTGGTTAACAGCTAATAAGATGATGATGAAAGAATTTAAGAACTTTTACCAAAACAAAAAGCTTAATTAGTGATTATCTCAATAATCTACCTACCAAAACCACAGATAGTCTAAAAAGTATGTAGTAGATCTGGATTATTATGAAACATACGGAGGGGAAAAGACTTTTAATTTGAACTTCATGTGAAAAATGAACGTTTTGGAAAACATTGAAGTGAGTCGTCCTATCCAGCTCTGTTAAAAGACTTACTTCAGGATGATAAATGCAGTAATAGCTTCAGAACACAGGGCCCAGTTCCACCCTAAAAGTCTTGAACAAAATCTGTATTTTTTTTTAATATGGCTTTTATTTGAGAGTATTTATAGAGAACAAAGTATCAAGCCAAGGCACTTAGACATGTAACAAGGAAAGAAACTTGCACTTCAGTGTTGTTTCTGGAATAATTTTTTAAGATCTCTTGCTATGTTTAAATGGGATTTGAATTCGACAACGTGATTCCAGTCATCTTATTCAAATTTCACTTGAAAAACGTTGAGTGGTTTTAAGCACATTTTTGAGTCTTTTCAGGATGCAGAAGAAACTTGATCTGTAGCATTGACGAGGCATTTTTTTTTCTTCCACTTTTTTTTTTCTTTCCGTGTCTGCTGATGCATGCAGCATCTTCTGTATTGGTTGAAAAAAATGAGTATAAACACATTTTTATGTGTGTGTGTAAAAACATTCTACTCAGTTGCACTGTACATAGTTTTTATATAAAAGATTATAGATGCTAATTCTTTCTGAAAAGTCTGGCTTTAAGCAGACCACAGCACTTAAGGTCTGATTGGTATGGAGGCATGGAACTGCAGTCTGGCACATGATTAAAAGACATCTAGTTAGTATATAGGTGTGTGGACGTACTGTACCAGTCCTGTTAGATTTGATAATTGCTTACACAAAAAGGAATTAGCATTAATTAACAGATAGCGTAATGGTTAAACATTCACAATGAGAAACGTTCTAAATAACTTTTTTTATTGTATTCTTCTCCGCAGCCTCCCCCAATTGTTCTCCCTTGCCATTTTATTTCAAATCCTTCATTGTTATAAAAAATAGTATTTTACAGGCATTATCATCTGAAGCAGATACCATAGGTCCATCAGATGTGGCTAGTGATTCAGAAGAAATCTTCAGTCTGTAAGTCCCTAGCAGAATACTAGCATAGTAGAAGTTGGAATTCAGCTGAACATTTCTTGCTGTGTTTATAGGTGTCAAAAAAAAAAAAAATTAAATTCAGTTTCCCTGGTTTGTGTGTAGTTTTATACATGAAAGCAAGGCATCTCCATTAGAGAGCTAAATGAAACAAATTAGCAGTAGAACAGTGGAATGAGATAAATAACCCATGATCAATAAAGGATCTTAAGGTATAAAGGTTATTTCACTAGAACACAGACTACACTAATTCCTTCAAGCCTGAAAACCAAAAAACTGCTACTCATAGGAGTAATTTGCTTTATGCTGTTCAGTTCTCTGTGTCATTGAATGGATGCTGTTTTACCCCAGTGTCTTCAACATAAATATAAAATGGCCATAAATTGGGGAACAGATGGATTCAGATCTCAATAGGTAATTGTTGCGTATTTAAAAGATAGTTGGCATTACAGCTAACATATTTTCAGTATAAGGCTGAGGGCTTATATATTGGCAACAGTGCAGGACCAATGCAGAGAAAGCATGGTAACACAGGAAACAAAACTGGGTAAACGTATGATGTGAAGAGAAGGTACGGAAGGTAAAGACCAGCTGCCTATATTAACTGTGAAGTGAAAGCGTGTTGCTGTCAATTCATGCAGTCTAGTGTAAAACCAGCTGGCTTCAAAATAATCTGGAAGAAGAGAGCTGATAAATTGTAATTTTAAGTGTCCAGGTTAGCCTGTCAAAGAATAGCAGTTCAGGCGTAACCTTAGGAAGAGCAATTCAGCGTGTGGACAGATGAGCTTTGGCAGGTGTGTATGGAACAGTTCATAAGTCGATGTTTGTGATTGTTTAGCCAGTGCCCAGAAATTGTGACGTACCATTCTCCTTAGTTAATGCTGCAGTAACTTTGGTCTCCTATGTTATTTAGAAGCAAGCAGTTGGTCTTCTGCAGGGGTAGTTCAAAGCTGTCAGCCTTTTTTGTACTGCAGTGAGGTGATGTGGTTTGTTTAATGTGAATCAGTTGTGGGGGAAAAAAATTTAGTAGCTTGCAGGTGAGCAGCAGTAACTGCTGTAACTATTTCTAGAGCAGCTGTCTCTCTCGGTTAGGTTAGAAGAGGTGACATGCGTAATCTTTACAGTGATAGGTGCCAGAAATGAAACAGTGAATTTGATAGGACAGCTCTGCGTAAAGTAGTACTTGAGAATTTTTTAATGTCTGGTAAACATCCCTGTTTGCTCAAAAAAGGTTTTTTGGGGTTTGTTTTTTTTTTTTTTGGTCTGTCCATTGGAAACATTGATGAGAATTCATTATTTTCTTCAAACAGTGAAGGTTTTTAGTTTGTAGGGGAGGAAGCTTCATCAGGAGATGTACAGTGTTGATCAGAACATGTTGTTTTTCAACAGCTTTTAACTAATCTTTGATCTGGGGTTGTACCTGATTGACTCTGGGAGAGTTGGTTGCTCTCTTTAAATGACTGCTGTTGAGATTGGTTCCCCTCCAGGAGCTTCAAGCAGAAATACTCGAGCTCTGTACTTAAGGATCCTAGGCTTTGCAAATCAACTAGGTAATTCTGGCTTTTGCCTCAACTTCATTCATCTTTGTATTAACTGTACGTTGTTCCATCACAGACTTCACACGTACAGAGTATGATCAGTTGCTTAGAAGATGGTGATACTACTTTGTCCCGATGGGAGGAATGCTAGCTGGAGAGCTGGGTGGCTGGTTTTGCTCCAGCTGCTTTGGCATATGAGGATTGCGGAGACAGAATCTGTAAATGCCTTCACCTTCATCTGGGATGGGAATTTTGATTCAGGTTTAGTCTCTCAGATGTGATGTCATGATTCATTAGAAGGAAAGCACAAATTAAGCTGTTTCCTGGTGATGTTCTTATCTTAGAAAACATTGATAGACACTGAATATGATAGTTTCATCTATGCTGAGGAAGAGAGAAGCCTGTGCTTGTTTCTAAATCAAGCCTGGTTTTTTCCAGGTAAGCCTCGGCGCTGCTTAGCTCACAGTATTTGATACAAGTCTAAAAAGAAACTGTGTTCATATAGTCATGAGTCCTGTCTTTTTCTTTCTTTCTTTTTTTTTTTAAGGGAATTTTCTGGAACACAGCTTTTTACTGAACATGCAACTCAGATCCTCTTGGCATCTAAGCAAGGAACTGCAGTTTGCAACCTTATGTACAGAGCTTAGTGTGAGTCTCTAACCCCTTCCTCCTGGCAAATCTGTGAAGGTAAATAGCGAAGATGTATCATAGCTCTGGCAAAGACCTTCAGTATGAAGCTGAGTATTCTTTGGGGCAGGATACTCTTTGCTAAAACAAGGTTTACAGATTCTTTGCCATGGTATTAATCCTGCTCTGACAGCAAATGCAGAAAACTTAATTCACAGATATCTTAGAAATTGCAGGATCTATTCAATATAACCATTATTTTATTTTTTTTCCTATTGCAAGGTTTGGAATTCTCTTATTGGAGTAAGAGGTCCAGATCTCTTTGTCAGGTACTAGATTTTGTGTCTGTAATCAGAAGAGCATTGAGGAAGGTATCACTGTTAGCGACTGTAGGAGTTCTAAGGTCACAAACCTAGTGGAGAACAAGACAACTTCTGGAACATGGCACTGATGCATCCTTTTATAGAATGGATTAGTGCTGGCTGGAGAATCAAATTTAGTATTTGGGACTGAATGTTGTTCAATCTCTGTGTCCGTGAGAAGTCCCTTAAAGTCTTGCACCTCTTGAGCATAGCTGTCTGGTCTGATTGACATATGTGCCTTGACAAACTTGGAAGTACAAATTTTACTAGGTTTTTTGTTTGTGTGTTTTGCTCAGCTTTTGTATACCTGTGTTACTCCACTCCACTGTTTCTTCAGTTTTTCTCCTTACTGTGAAGTCCAAGTGAGGATTTAATTCCTTAAAGTTTCAGGAGGCTTCTATTAGAACCCACAATGCTGACCTCTCAGACAGGTTTGGGATTTTTTTTTTTTTTTTTTTTTTTTTTTTTTTTTGAAAGGCCAG